TTCACTGAGTTACGCAAGCCCCTTCGCCACGACAAGGCAGTGATCCATGAAGGGGATCTCTGCTCATAGCAGTATAAATTTGGGCTGTCAAAGGTTAATACCTATCTTTATATCTAAGAATGAACACACTAGCAGTACATTCATTGAAAAGGACAGTCTTTCCCCACCTGACGGCTTCCAGATTAAGGAAGGCTTCCATGAAACAGTTTTGCACTTGGTAAAAAATGAGTAACAGTAGCAAATGCTATTACCAATCATGGACCTTCACCACAAGTACCTATGTTTAACTATCTGATTCAAAATATGTATGTTGTGTGTGTGTGTGTAAGCATAAAAAACAACATCCCACATACCACTGACACTGTCTGGTTGGGTAGCCGCAAGTTCCTGAATTTCTTGTAGTTCTTTCCAATTAGATTCCAGTGATTCCAGTAACTGCTGCTTCTTCTCAGATAGTCTACGCAACCCACGTAATTCTTTTTCTGTAACCAGAAACTTTATAAATGATCTTTTCAGAAATATTTTCAAGCTCCTCATTTTAGCGCTGCTTACAAAACAAACAACCATTGTTTGTGCCAAATTTGAATATAAAAGGCCACTTAAGTTGTAGACATGGCTTCAATATCATCCACCCCTCTTTTGTTTAGGTTTTTTTTTTTAAATCATCTTGCCTGATTACAACATTTTGAATTTGAAAGCTTGGTCACCATGGGGCCCCGGCTCACAGGCTCCCACCCTTCTAGCCTTCTGGAAGATCTTAAAAAGCTGGTTTTCCCCCCAAGTGTTGGGATAGGATGAGGCTGGAGCCCAGTGGTTGTAGTTTCTTATGTATTGCAAGAGTTTGTTAAGAGAACCAGGAGGTATGGGTGGGGAATGTTGATATTTATTTTATTTTATTTTTATTTTATTTTATTTTATTATTACTGTTCCTAGGAGCTACCCAGAGTTATGGCTCATAAGATGGGCAGCCATATAAGTCTCATAAATACATGCATACATACTATGTTGTGATTTTGAGTTTCCCCAAAGTCAAATTGAATGGGTATGCCAGAACACATGACTCTTCTTGTGAGGAGCCTAACTGTCCTTGCTCTCTGACTGTTAGGTTTACAGTACTAAAACATTATGCATAATCAATGCTGCCTTTTCTAAAACTCTTAGTTATTCTTTCCTTACCAGAAGGTTGTATAAATGTAATTCTTTCTGAAGCACGATGACATACATTTTGCATAGCATCTAGAGTTGCCTCTAGATCTATAGACAACTGTCTTCTTTGCTTAGTTAATCCCTGCAACTTAAGCTCTAGTAAAAAAAAATTCATAATAAAATATTACTATGCATAAAAATAGTTAAATTCATTAAATTTGTTTTTTGTATCATCTGTATTTCAAAATGTTAATGATTCGCATGTATCCAGATAGTACACTGAATTCTTGCCTCTCCAAAACCTCCACCCATTCACAAGTGATTAAATGTAGAACATTTCATACACTGGATGATAAAATTATAAAATGGTTTTGGCTGGATAGGTTCTCTGCCAATATTCTCAGGAATGTTATGCTGTTGTGCTGAAAATGCCAGCAGAACTGGGGAAACGTTCCTATACCTCTCTCTTATATAACATTACTTTTAAACAAGCTCATGCCTTGAAATCAACCTACAGTGTTCAAATCTGAGCTTAAGTGAAAATTTCCTGACCCAAGCTTCCACTCCTCTGAGTCCTATTGTTGTTGTTGTTGTTTAGTCGTTAAGTCGTGTCCGACTCTTCGTGACTCCATGAACTATATTGCGCCAGGCCTTCCTGTCCTTCACTGCCTCCCTGAGTTTGCTCAGTTTCATGCTCATTGCTTCAGTGATGCTATCTAACCATCTCATCCTCTGCCGTCCTCTTCTCCTTTTGCCTTCAGTCTTTCCCAGCATCAGGGTCTTCTCCAAAGAGATCTCTCTCCGCATTAGGTGACCAAAGTTATCTGACCTTGAGCTTCATTATCATCCTTCCAATGAGCAATCAGGGATGATTTCCTGTAAGGTTGACTGGTTTGTCCTCCTACCAGTCCTGGGGACTCTTAAGAGTC